AATTTTTAGAACAATAGAAACGAAATTTTTTTTTAATCGGAGAAAAAGTGTCTTTTGGGTTGAGGGGAGGACCGGTGGAACTATATACAGATTCTGACCTATTAAGAATTGGAAACCCATGATAACAAAGTGGGGACATTTTCAATGTAGATAATTAAGATTTTCTGACTGTCGGGTCTGACAAAAACAAGAGGTGAAAAAACGATTGTCTCAGTTCACAGATAGCACCAGTATTCTTCCCTGAAGTCACATCTAATTAGCGGCGGGCTGTTTTGACAGAGCCCAGGTGAGAAAAAGCCAAGATTGTCATTTTTCGTAATAAAAAAAGGGCAAAATTAGATTTTGTTTTTTTTTAAAACAAGAACGATGTAAACCACGCCCAACCACAATCTCATTAGCTGAAAGCAGTCACGTGATATGCGGAAAGAAGAGAAAGGATGCTCGATCAAGAACCATTGGTCGGAAACGGTCACGTGATCTGCGGAAAAGAAAGAAAGAAGTGCTCGATCAGGAATCATTGGTCGAGAGCGGTCACCTGACATACGAGGACCGGGAAGGATGGGTGTGCGCCTCCCCACCAAGGGCACTGTGAGGAAGTAGGGATGAAAACAATAGCGATAATGAGAAGACAGAAATAAGGCAGCTATTGGAATTATTGAGAAACCCCTGACGCCGACAGACCCACCCCGGTTTGTTGCGGCGTGAATAAAAGCAGGACCCCAGTCGACAGAAATCAGTTGGAGTGGAGTTGCAGCTGAACCGCGGGCAGGGAAAGAGCCTGAACGCGGGCATCGGGCCCGATTCACTCGCCCCTTTGCGGGCAAGAGAATCCTCAGACAAGAAATCCTTCCACCCAAGTCGAAGACAAGAGAACTTCCAGCCCAAGCAGACGAAGAAGGAGATTGCTCGAAGGACGCCAAGAGTTGTGGCAGAGTTACGGCAGAGTTCAGCCCGGACGGCAGCGAGAAGAGATCACCTCGGACGACAGAGAGTTGCGGCTGAGTTGCGGCAAGAAATCCTTCCAGCCCAAGTCGAAGACAAGAGAACTTCCAGCCCAAGCAGACGAAGAAGAAGATTACTCGAAAGCCGCAGAGAAGTTGCAGCCAAGTCGAAGACAAGAGAAGTTGCAGCCAAGTCGAAGACAAGAGAAGTTGCAGCCAAGTCGAAGACAAGAGAAGTTCTATCTTAGTCGATGAAGAAGAAGAACTACAACTCAAGTCGAAGAGAAGAATCAACTGCGAATGATCGATAGAAATTAGCCCCAGTGTCGAACTAAACCACACTCCGACATACACAATTCTAAAGAGTAGGCAATTCGAAATCTTTAGGTTGTGTGATAGAAGCTTGGTGCCATAGTCCACAGAGCGGGTCGGGAATTGAGAACAATTTTTTCTTTATGTAACGGACATTAGATATAAAAGGTTGTCACCCTTTTTTATCAGTAATTTTTTGTCTCGTGAGTTTTTTTTTTTTTCTTTTACTTGTGTTTTGCCACCCCCGTCGGACTCAACTTGTATCGGCCCCAATCCCTGCTGGTCCCGTCTGTCTAAGATCTAAACACAACGTGGGTAGACAGACCGGAGATCAGTACAGTTGCTTCAGTAACTAGGTATTGGAAGCGAGTTGGGAAAGGCGAGGCTGGTGATCATCCAACCAAGGGGTTGGAGCGGCACGCTTGGAACCAGGAGGAGCGACCAGGAGGAGCGACTTCACAGTTGGCGCCGTAACCAAGGGATTCGACCCTGGGCCAGGTGAGTAACCGTCACACAAGTCTCACTGTCATGAAACAGTGCAGATTGAACATACACGGAGAACAATTTGCCACAAGTTCTCAACAATACACATTAGGATGTGAGAATGGGTAAAAGCTTTTTAAATTTCCCAAGGTACAGCAGTTCAGAACTCCCAAGAGAGTGCCTCCAACATGAGAAAGAAGAGCAGTGGACTCAAGACCGAGCCTTGAAGAACACTGACACCAACACCAACATCCCTGCTATATTGGACATTGATTCTAACTTGACACCAGGCATTGCAGTACACGCCCTGAACCACACAAATAGCCTAATCCTCAACTCCAAGGCTTCTCATGGCACACCAAACCTCTTCTCCAGAACAACAAAGGCAAAGAAGAGAGGTTACACAGCAGTAATGAATTGATGCGCAATGAGAATTGTGTCAGTGGTGCCACTCCCAGGTACAAAACCATACAGCATTTCATCAATGTTGACCATTTTTCTGATGTAGGAATCAAACATACATTCAAGCAGTTTAATCACTTGGTCAGTGAGCTTGAGGACTCTAACTGCATGTGAGCAAATATTGATTTAACGATTTTTGTGAAGACAACATTGAGTTTTCTCTTGATACAAGTCCTATTATTTAACACATAGATGGGGAGAAGAGATGAATTAATACCTTTCCCAAGCGGGTCATGATGAAAGAGAAAATGAAAATGAGTGACCTTTAAAAAGTCATTAATATTTATTCTGTATCTTTTCTCTATAAATTTTAGTTCATTTATTTTTTACCTGATGATGCCTAGAAAGACAAAATGAATAATAAAATCTAGTTTCAATAAAATATTTATCCATTTCTCAGATTTCTTCAAAACTTTGTTGGGATTTTATATCCTATTTTAAACAGACACACACACACACACATATATATATATATATATATATATATATATATATATATATATATATGAAATATAGTCTTAAGGTGTGCTATATTTATGGGATAAAGTGCTCAATATCAGAGATATAGCGTGTGTAAATATAAAAGTAAACATTGAAGTCAACACTTAGAGGCAACAGTCTGTTTCATGCTAGATGCAATTGTCAGGCCTGATGATTGTGTCCAGCATGAAACAGACTGTCGCCCTAAGCGGTGACTTCAATGTTCAATTTTATATATATATATATATATATATATAACCAAAATCTATTACACCTAACAAAAAAATACATAAAGTAAAACAAATTTTTGAAAAAAGTATTCAATATAAAAAAATAGACCAACAATATATATATACACAAGCATAGGATTGGTATAGACACAAAATTCCAATAACCATAAACACTATCCTTAAAAGAGTGCATGATACAGAGTGGAGTAAATAGTATTTATTCAAAAATTATAACATAAACATGTTATAACTTTTTAAAACTCTTTATTCATCAACACCATCACTTGACAAGCACTACAAATGTTGATACAAAATGGCTATTTTTGTAGTGATGTTACAACATGTTTATGTTATAACTTTTGAATAAATACTAGATATATATATATATATATATATATATATATATATATATATAGATAGATAGATAGATAGATAGTTGAAAAGAAAGAGAGAGAGAAACAGGATCGAATATAGTTGTCAGTTATGTCATCTTCACAACATTAAATATGATGCGTCAATTAATTGGCAGAATGCACCACATTAAAACTGACTTGAGCAGGCAGACCACGGGATTAAATAATTCTTATGCCTTGCACTGTTTTCTGCCACCTTGATTCCACAAAGTAGCAATTTGGTAATGTGCCAGGTCAAACAATGCACCTGAATTTGCAAACAAATGCTAATGTAGTGCTGAATGCTTAGATCGTCTCAGGCTTTGAAAGGATTGGATTGGAATATCAAATCGTTACAGAAGATTGAAAGCTGAACACTTTCTCTCAAGGATTTGCCTGAATATATTGAATTGACTTTGGTCTGAAGGTTTAAGAGAAAAATTGGTAATTCTATGTTGTTGATCGGTTTGTACAGGTTAACAACTGAGTAATTATTCCAAAGAAAACTTAATTATTTTAATTAGAAATTCAGCACATTGTCAATAAAATTTTAACAAAAGTCTTAGCTTTTACATTTTATAGAAAAATTCAGTTCAAGTTATCTTTTGCTGAAATTAAATCTTTTTCTTACAATCTGCAATATTATTGGTCTTGATCTGGCGGCTCAGCTTGTCACTTTCCCACCACCATAAGGTTGCCTCTCTATGTCTTTTCTATAAATACTTTCATGGTAATTGTTCAAATGAGCTCTTTGCTATGGTACCTAAAGTTTTTGCATTACAGATGAATTGGCTAGATGTAACTAAATTCTATGCTAACAGTTTCTTCTCTTGCACTTCTCACTGGTGGAACTCAATTCTGGCTTCTTGCTTTCCAGCCAACTTTAATCTATAAAAATTTAAATGCAATGTCAATCGCTATCTATTATCCTCCTGATTACTCTCTTCTCTTTCTACTAATCATTTATGTTTCTGTTCCTAATTTTTCCACACTCTGTAACGCCTTGTGTTCTGCATCATTACTACCTTGCCTGGGGTGATTCCAATTAAAAAAATAAAAATGTCATTTTTTAATGTTGATATGTGTTGGAAATAAAGTGTATTTTATATAGAGATTATAAACAATTTATAATAACATTCTTCAAATAGCTCACAAGAAGTCATTAAAAAAGATTTAACTCTTCAGTACTGGAGATGAAACTTTGAAGAGTTAATTTTAATATGTTACCAATAAGGCATGACCTATGAATAGTTTGAACATAAAAATGTGGGAAAAGAGACAGATACATTTACCTTTTTAATTTATTTTTTTTTATGTTCCAAATTCAACAAAGTTTTTTCAGGTTTTATTTGAAATTTGGTTCTTAAAATTTCCCTTTTCATAATTCTATTATCTTTCTTTGCAGTCACTCATTTGACATAGAATGTTCCAGTTGAAAATAAACTATCAGCTTATTTGTTTTTCAATTGTGCTTATAATTTCTTTGTTCTGTTTATTATTTATTGTCTTTCCTCCTTTTATTTCAATGTTTTTTTTAAATAATTTTCCTATGTCTCCCATATTTTTTGTCTGTTTTTTCTTTCAGCCATTTTAAAATATATTTCTTCATATTCTGTCTGCATTTCTTTCTCTTTGTCAAAGCAGATATATTGTTTTACCTTTTTTTCTACTCTTTTTCTGATTCTTTCTACTTAGATGGCTTACGGCCATATAGTATTGAAGCACCAGTTGCCATATGATCACTGAAGTTAAGCAATGTCGAGCCTGGTCAGTATTTAGGTGGGTGACTGTTTGGAATGTGTGAGTGGTGTAATGGATAATGGCTTAATTGGAGAGCAGAATCACAAATACCCTTGGGAAAGGTGTGAATTCACTTCTTCTTCCTCCAGTTATGGGTTAATTAGCAAAACTTTTATCACTAAAATCATTATTATCTAAAAAAAAAATTATTAAAATATAAAAATATTTTCTGTCTTTAAATAACCTGCAAAGGGTTGTGTGTTTATCTAAAAATAAATACGCTTAAATTCACCTTCATCCCTGTCATGCACCAATGGTTTAGGGGTAGAACTCTAATTCAGCCAGGTTTCAATCCTAGCTAGAGGCAACTGGACATCTAGCCACACTGATGAGTTGTGATACAGTGAAACAGTATGTCTGTGGATGACAATATATATATATATATATATATATATATGTTGAAAGAGAGAGGGAAGTATGTACATCAATAATGTTTGTATCCTAAAGTGGAGAAAAGTCATTTATTTTTACACAAATATTTATTTTCAGGCATAAATTTCTTTAACAAGTATAATCATATCTGATAATACACTAAATTCAGTAGTGAATATTAATCATATATAGTGAACATTATAGAGTGAAAATTTCAGATCAAAATTTAACTCAATTTTTCAATCTTTTTCTCTTTTATTTGATACTTTTTCTTTCTTCTGTGCTAACCTTCTCTTTCAATGTTTCATTACAATTCCCCCCCACACCTCTCTCTCTTTATTTTCTTTCTTCAATCCTTCCTTTCTTATGCAATTCTATCTTTTTTTTTCCTGCCATTTTTCTCCATAGAATAGTTTTCCTCTGTATTTTTGTATTTTTTTGTTTTTAGCTTCTGTCTCTGTTGATTTCTTTCTGCATTTCCAAATTCATTTCTTTGTCAACTTCTCTAACTTTTATTATTTTTCTCTCTTTCCCTCTGGCCTTACTCTCTTCTGACTTGTCCACATTGATCATTCAAAATGATTGACTCAAAGAGAAAACTGAAGCAAATAATAGCAGTCCAGGCCACACGGTTGCATAGCATTGTCATTTTTTTTTATCACTTTTAACTCTCATATCAAGCTTTGCTATGGTTTCATGACTGGTTTTCATGGTTCTTCTTTTTGACTTTTATGGTACAAATAATGATTGAGTATGTAATGAGAAACCAAGTGTAAACAAAACAGGCAACAAAAGATACTTACATGCAATAACAATGACAGTCATAAAAATGTAATAGAAATAAGAAATTGGCATGAAAATAACGATGATGATGATTTTCCAGAAGTACAATGATCATTGTAATAAAGGGAATAACAGTAAAGGTTAAATAAAAATGGTAATCATCACTATGATCATCAGCCCTATGACTGGGTGTAGTCATAGGGTCACTGTGCAGCTTGAACACCTGGCCAGCTCCCACCATATATCTTGGTTGGTATCCATTCATGCATAGCATGTCTTGAGCAGAAGAAACCTGACTGAGCCCATCCCTCCACAGCTGATGTCTTCCGACTTGATGGCTTGCCTTGGTCACCGATATGTGGCTCTTTGAGTAATTCTTTTTTGGCATTAACAATTTTTTTTGCGAATAACTGATTTTTCCAGATAAAAGCTATTTAACCTATATCTGGAGAGATTAGCATTATTCTTTAGGACATGGGAAATCATTGGCATTGCTTTCTGTCTCTTATTTAAGTTAAAAATTTTATCTTTCATGTCTCTTTTTCCTTGGGATGAGTTTGTTTGCTGATATCCCAAGAGTTTCATTTAATTTGACCAACTTTTATTTTCTTGCCTCATCTATGCTATTAAATTTCCTCAACTTTCTCAGTGTACATGTTTTTGCAAGTTTATTCATCCTAGATTCCATCATACTGGCATTGCTTTGGGTTTCTTTAATTTCCTATGTCTTAATCTAATTTTGCATAATATAGAAATGTGGTCACTCCCACAGTCATCACTTGGATAAGTTTTATGGTGCCTTTACTACATTCCCGAAAGCTCATATTGATTATTATGTAGTCAATCTGGTTTTTCATATATCCACCTTGGCTTTTCTATGTCATAATTGCTTTGGAGTCCTAAAAATAACTGCCTGAAAATAAACTCTATTTCTCTATGAGTCATGTCAATTTCAGGACCAGGGTGATTGTGGTACTTGTTGTCTCTTGTTATTCCTAGCAACATTTTTTTTGTTATGATCCCTCTTTCCTTTGTGGTACTTGTTCCTTTATCTATTTGCACACATTTGGCTTGAATTACTATTTTCCCTTTTCTTCTGCTTCTCTTGTTCCTTTGTTTAATTGTTATGTCCCCAATTCATATTCACATCTCTTTGGCTCACTACGGTGGAGTCATAGATAGCAACTTGGATAGAGGAATCAGAGAGCTGAATTCAAATTCCAGTTGAATCCATTGCATTCACTTATATGCTAATACCCTTGGGGAAGGTATGAATCCTCTCCTCCTCCCCCCACATATGGGTATATAGCAAGATAGACCAGGTTCTATAGCCTTGGATGGCAACTGGTTTACTGCAGAAAGAAATGGCAACTTATTGCAGGAAAAATTCTGCCTCGTCAGTCATGTATCAAAAGATACATGATTGCCTAAGTGTGTATCACACATGGCAAATAACCGACTGATGATGCTTTATATCTTATTGCTATCAATAACCAGTTCTTTTTTTTTATTTTAGCTTCCCTTTGGCATATCAGAAAATATGTTAAGATATAAGGAATTAAAAGAAATTTTTAAGCAAAATACTAATGAAAATAGAGAAACTTAAGCATTACCAGGAACATGGCCATTAAAGAAATTTGCCATGATCTTTTGAAAATGATTCACAAATGGTTGGCTGCTGTTATATTATTTCATAATGCTATAAAATTATAATACATTATTATAATATTACTGTTTCTATGATAATAATAACAAAAACCATCATCACGTTATTAAGGTTAGCTATTTGCAAAATAAACAATGCTATACATATTCATTCCACATTAGCAATTATTTGCTGAGCAGTGAATTCAAGTTAGAACCTTTTGTGTGTTTGCCAGAATAAAAGGAAAAAAAGAAGGACCTGATCAGTCAAAAGAGCAATAAAACAAGGCAAAAGTATGAAAATCTAATTGGACTAATTTTAATGCAAAGTACAAAAATAATGAGAAAAATATATATTTTCTAATGTGCATAAAATAGTCTTTATTCAGAAAGAAAGCTTTAAAAGTAACATTTAGAGAGATAATAAATGTAATAGTAACAAAATATGTTTGCTGCAAATTTAAATAACTACATATTTATAATCATCAAAGAAAATTACCCAGACTAGAAGCCCTATCTTTGCCTACTCTTTGTTTTTTGACAGTATTATATCTTGAGTTCTAGATTAATATGAGAAATCGTTAAGTTGTATAAGTTTTGAAAAAGAATCATGTTAGAGAAAAGTGTCTGCAGCCAAAATTTTTATGGACTAAAAGATTGAAATCTGATCAAACAAAATAATGACAAGTAAAAAAACAAAATCAAACGGAAACAAAACATAATACAAAGTGGAAATGAAAACAGACAAGAAATAATGAAACAAAAACAGATATGAGACATGATTTGCCCCATAAAAGTCAAGCAATGAGGGGGGACCAGAGGGAAAAGCAAATGAAAAAATAGCAAAATCTTTGAAGAATCTCATAAAAAGGAAAATGGAAAATTAATGAAATGAGATACGATTTACAATGAAAACTTGACAGGTGCCTCTTGGATTGCCAAATATACAAATTCATAATAACTGATTTTTTTAAAAATAAACCAAAATAGGTTAAACAAATTAATATAAAACTATTATTAGAATAATTTAAAAAATATATGTCATTCAGCTTTCAATAATGCTTCCTACTTTTTCAACTCTTCATTTTGAGCTCAATATAGAGTTACAAGTTTTGCATAGTCCTGGGTATGATGATAAACTACATCCGGCAGAAAGTTCTTTCATTGGGAAGTTTTTATGAGCATGGAACCACTTCTTAATTCCCAGTCCACCCTGACTCGGGTGGTAGCTCCTGTTAGGGTTTCAGCTATGGGCAAATAGTTACCCCCCACCCCCCAACAAAACTATGAAAGTATAAAAAACATTTTTATAGTAACAATACCAGCAATACATTTTTATATAAAAAATTACCAATGATGCATATCTATAGTAGAATTACCAACAATATATATTTAAAGCAAAATTACCAACAATAGATTTCATAGCAAAATGACCAAAACTACATTTTATCTGTAGTTGAAGCCATAAAACTCTTTTCAAAATATTTAGATTTCAGCATTAAATAACCCTTAGAGATTGATATGCTGCTAAACCAAATCAAATTTTGCATATATGAATATATATAATGACTGGCCATTGGTTTCCAATGATGGCCACCTGCTGGGGTTGTTAACTAATACCTGTTGCAGAGGCCTGCTCAGGCACATTTGTGTTTCTTCAATACCTGCAAAGCCAAACTACAGCTTATAATACAACTATGCTGAGTATACTCTAGTTACAATTTCTCTGAGAAAGTACATAATCTGGTATGATCAAGTGTTTGAACAAGGCGCATACAGTCAAACCTTCAGTTACAATGACCTGTGACATCATGCTAGCACAACCATCAACATCTTCTGAACAGTTTAGTCTACTCAATTTTACTTACATGGTTTGTGTCAACCCATGGTCTGGTTCTAAGGCATCCTCAATGGCTGAGAATACCAGGATTACCTTCACAGGTCATTATCATCAAGAATTTCACTTCTTAACAAACCAATTCTGATCAGATTCAAACTTGAAACTCATGGTCAGAACACGAATGTTCTAACCATTTGGTCACATATAATTTTCAAAATAAAAATATGTAACATTTGTTTAAAAATGTAAATGAAGGTGAAAGTGATTTGCATAAGAAATACAAGACATGATATTGAATTATAAATGCATATCTGGCATTACTTTTCTTGTCTGCAAAAGATCTGTTGCAGATGGTATTGCCTCCTGCAGTATACAGGAAAAAGATACAAAGTCTCATTCTTTCACTTTAACCACAGGATTCTTTAGAGATAGGATTTGTCTCATTTTCTGCAAGGAGGAAAACTTTTGGCCTCTAGAGAACCACATGTTTCCCAGAACACAGCATAGCATAGTACACAGCATACAAATGATTGAGAGACTCCTCTCTACCTTCCACCAGCATGGCTGATGCTAACCTCCAGGAAATTGACTCGTTACATCTTCTTGGGCTAACATTCTCAGCTGACATGAATTGGAAAGATTATATCAAATCCATTGCTAGGTCAGCTGCTAAAAAAGTTTGTTCACTGTGTTGTGCAAGACAATTTTTCTGTGCAGAATCTATCTAACATATCCATAAGTCTATCATTGCCCTATGCTTATAATATTGCTGCTACATATGGTCTAGTGCCTCTGCTATTTACTTTGAGCACTTAGATAAAATCCAAAGAAGAATCAACAAAATTTATCAGTCCTGATCTGGTGGTTTGGCTTCAGTCACTTTCTGAATTTAAGCAAAGTACTTAACTGGAATTGAGATCTTATCAATTTACAGTTGAGCTGCCTAGATAAAGCCATAAGTTTTATGCTAACAGTTTCTTTTCTCACACTTCTCACTTGTGGAACTCTGTTCCAGCTCCAAGCTTTGCAGTTAACTTCAATATGCAAAAATTTAGATGCAATGTCAATCGCTATTTACTATCCTCCTGATTACTCTTTTTTCTTTCTGCACATTATTAATGTTTCTGTTTTTAATTTTTCCACACCCATTAATTCCTTGTGTCATAGTGGCTTTACCTTGCATGGGGTGATACCAATTAAAAAATAATGGGAATTTTCTACTAATTGTACAAAATTAACAAAGAATTCTTTTCAAAATTTCTGTCACAATTTCTTAAATAAAGTTTGCACAAAATGTACATATGAAAAAGGACATCTCTAAACATACACACACATACATATATACATACACACTTTTGTATTTTATCTTTAATTTGCTAAAGAAATATAAAATGTTGTTGCAAATTTTACATACTTAGATATTATTCTTGTACATTGTTTGCAGTAATTTCAAGGCATCCATTATTAACTGATATTTCTACACTTTCTCTTACTAAATATACATCTTGTTAAGACTAAATACATCACCACAACACATGTATTTAAGTGAACATGCTTATTTTTTATGAACAACTGAACACAGTAATCTCAAGAAGAGCACACAAGATCCAACCCAAAGGTTTGAGGTAAAAAATGGCTTCCTCAAAGAAAGAAAAATTCTGTCAGTTATAAATAAATCTTGTAATAAAGAATATTTCTGGATGGATGTTAAAAATAATTAATATGATTTCCAATTATTTATTGTTTCTAATGTTTTTTTTTATATAGAAAAAAATGAATTTATATTTTCTTCTTCTATGTCCCTTCATGGTGATCATTGCTTGCCACAATTTCCTGTCATTTGTAGCACTTAGTAAAATTAGGTCTTTTTGCTATCTCTCTTAATCCCTGTTCGGCAAAACATTTACACAAGCTTGATAGATAAGTTATACACTGCTTTCCTCTGTTCCTCTTACCTTCAGTATGTCTTGTGAGTGTAAAATTTTCTAGGCCCTCTTTCTTCATTATGTGCACTAGAGATTTCAGTTCAATCTTTCTGATGTTAATATAAGTGTCATTTTTGTTTTCATTTTCTCTAAAACTTTGTTGTTGCTTACATGTACAATCCATGGTATCTTCAGCATTCTTCTGTAGAATCACATTTCTGCTGCTTCAAGTCTCTTCTTCATCTGTGAGAAGATCGTCTAGCATTCACTGCCACATAGGAGAACTGACATTGCATAGTGGCAAGAAAGATCGATTATTTCTAGAAAACCTTTCTTTGTTTTTAAGTCATATTGGCACTAAGACCTTACCTTAGAAAATAGTAGTAACAGTGTGATCCTTTCTTTTATGTGTCATGGGATTATCATGGCTCTCTACAACTTCCTACCCTTTGTATTTCTTAGTAATGTTTGTACCCATATTATTCCTTGCAACCCATGTCAGCCATTTACGCAAGCTTGTAAGGTTAAGGTAACTTGTAACTTGCACTTCAGATTTCACTGTCACATTTTCTATCATCTGTTAAAACAATTGCCAGACTCTCACATCATTGTCTTCTATAAATTGATAGTTAGTCCTTTCTTCCTGCTTTCTTTCACTATATTGTCTAGTAGCTCCTGCAGTTTTTTTTCTCTGTCTGCCATCAATATGGTTTTCATCTGCATATCCTATGTTGTTAAGACAATGCCCGCTGATTATAAATCCTGGTAGGACTTCCAGTTTTTTTTTAGGATTGCCTTGCTGTAAAATAAATTGAGTGAGAAGATGCATCTTTGACGTATGCCCCTTTCTATTTTTATGTACCTGCACAATTAATTCAGAATTCAAAAAACGTTTTTAGATTCTTAGAAGTTTTTTTTGGATATGGTTTAATGAACATGTCTTACTAATTAACCCATAGCTGGGGAGAGAAAAGGTGGATTCATACCTTTTCCAAGTATTTGTGTGTAAGGGAATATAATAAACACAACTGTAATTGGAACTCAGCCCTCTGGTTAAGAACTCAGAGCCATTATCCATTGTACCATCTGCATATCCAAGCTTACAGCACCTGGTATTCTCAAGTGGTCATGCATCTAGGTACTGACCAGGCTCGGCATTGCTCAACTTCATTGATCATACATGAATCAGTGTTTTCAACATGATATGGCCATAAACTTAGAAAAGTTAAAGACATCCAAAAATTTGATATATAATATGCTAACATTTATATCTCAGTTGGTTTATAGATCAAATACTTATTTTTATAATGGACAGAATGCCTGCATATAGACAGAAAATGAATTGAGAAACAGTATGGTACTGTTTTGAATTAATAAATATGAGTGATTTCCTTTGCACATCTCTTTCTTTTTTAGCTGTGGCCTAAGATGAAGCATATTCTTTTGAAATTCGTTTATCACTCAGCAATATTTGTATACAAAAAGTCAAATGCCAGTTTTGTAATAAAATCATTTTCCCAATTCTGCTGCAGAAATTTTAATAATTAATTTATCATTCACCTTATCTTGTTATCTTCTAAATGTACATGATTTTGGATTTAATGCTTCTTACGTAAATCCAATAGGGTGTTGAAATTTACTAAGTACTCCAAATTCACTTCCCATACATTTATTGATGCTTCACTGCTATATTTATGCTGATCTTCTCATGAATAGAGATACCAGTTGGTAAGTCAGCTGGTTAGTTAACTGGCTGACTGATCAGTAGGATGGATGGACACTCAGACAAATTTGTCAGGGAAGATGAGGATGATATAACAGTGGATTCCACTTTCAATGAAGTGATGAATCATTTTACAATATCTGAATGGGGATGAGAAGTAGAAGGTTTGAAGAAGTTCTTGAGAAAGAAATGGGAAGAAAGGTTGTGGAAGGCAATAGTTTACTGACAGCTACAGCACCCCTCAGGGGACATAAATTGACAGATTTGTGATACAGGAGAGATTCTACTATTAATCAGTAGGTTGAATTCAAAGCTCTTTCTATTGAGAAACTGTGCAAGGTTGAATTGGCTCCGGATACTAATTCTCTTTTTGTTCCATTTTCATTTTCTGTCCTACTTTCACTTTCATTTTCCTTTCCACTTCAATTAATCTGACATCCTCTCCAATATGATGCACAGGCATGGCTTTAAACACACATACCCCCATCTGTGTCAGTCCAGTGATGCATGTGCCCAATGTGATTGACTATCTCACTGTCTACCTATTGAATTACATCAATAGAGACCAATTTAAATAAACAAAGACAAATAGATATAGTTTTCAGTTATACACACACTTATGCATTGATTATTTTTCTTTTTATATATTTCTTCTATTTTTTCACACAGAAAAGGTAATCAAAGAAGTGTGTCATCTGGTCATTCTTCTTGAATTTAGTGATACAATAAAAAGCAGCAAGATACTACCAGATATCCAAATTGTAAAACTTAGTGATAAGTATTCATTGAAGTTTCTTAAATTCTACTATGTCCCTTCAGAACATGGATGATCATAGCTCTCCAAAACATCCTATCCCTTGTTGTGGCTCTTAGCAGTTTTTCTATTTGCTAAGGTTTCCCATTCATATAAGCTCATCAGGTAGGTGGATTGCTGACTTCCCCATATCTTTCTCACCTTCAGTATACCCTGTAAGGAATAATTTTTCCAAGCCCTCATTCCTTATTATGTGTCCAATAAATTTCAGCTTTCTCTTCCTAATTCTGAGTATAAGTGTTCTTTTTATTGCCATTTTCTACAATATTTAATTTTCAAGGTTAATTAATTAGGAAAGTTGGATTTTATAATTAAATCAAAAGATATATTAGAAATCTCTAAAAAATAACATGATTCAAATTTAGATTTTATTGCCCAAATTATGCATGGTAATAAAGAGATTAACTGTTTCCATACAGGAAACATTCAGCATTTATTTACAAGTGTTAAAATCTATAAAATCTTTCTCTTAAAAGTGACTTTCAGAAAAAAATAGGCTTCTCAAGCCCACTGTTATCACCCTTTCTAATACTGATGAGGGTTTCCTTCCTAACATTTTGTTTAAGGTAGTGTGGAAAGTCAACATCATGATTATGTAATTATTTTTTATTTTCTCTTCTGGTTACATTCACTATTGATTTTAGTTGTGGTTGCTGTTAGAAGTCTTCAAGTGGTATGTTTTCACTATTTGGAAAGTTCCTTGTTTGTGATTCTCTAGGACCATTCTATAAGATCAGGTGAATGGTTGTCTTAAGCTTTAGCACTCTGCATTTTTAATATTACTTCTCACTGCATTCTTTTTCAAGGCCTCTCAATTGCAGTATCCTTATTGTTAATTTCACTCAGTTGTTTTGTGTTGCCATAGTAGGTCATGACAATGCAGCTATAAAATTCAAACACACTATTGTTCAAGGATCAGAGACACCTTCAGTGGCAGGATAAACATTTTTGTAGAGTAAATGAAGTAACATACAGAATGATAAAGATTAAGGATTCATTCACTTGAAGCCATTTTCAATCACGGACCTGAGAAAAAATGTTCTGCTGGGTGCGATGGATAAGTTGTCGAAAAATGAAAATAACACTGACATTTCATTTTAACAGATATATTTATCAAAATTATGCAAAAAATATCTTGAAATAATGAAGAATAAATTTATTCAATAAAATCACCATTGGCTTCAACCACGTCCTTCAGACAACTTTGGAATCTTCTGCAACTCTTTGATGGTTACCTTGTTTAAGTTGGTGAATGCTGCCATAATCCTTGCCTTCAGTTCATCTTTGGTATTACAAATAATGAGTTTTGTTGCACCTCATACATAATAATCTAGAGGTTCGCAGTCTGGGGAGTTAGGTGGCCAGATTTAAAGGGTGATGTGGTCATAGAAATTGCCTGACAGCTATGACTGGGTTCTCTTGCTTGTGTGGCATGGTACAGACTCCTGTCATAAGATATAGGGTCTTCCAGCAGTCACCCTCTTCTTAAGGCACTTAATATAGGCCTACGTGTTGAGTCTGAGGCTCTGTGGGAAGATGAATGGAGGCATAATGTCACCATGACTAGTGATTACTCCAAACACCTTTGTAATCATCATTAGACTTAACCAACTATTTCTGAATCCTCTGCACTGTCCTCACACTTTGAAATGTCCGAATCGGAGCTTCCAGTGCAAATGCAAAGTTGTACAGCATGCTGTTTTCAAATTTCTGGCAGAGTGAATTGTGCCATGCTGCTCTTTTTCTCACAACTGACCCTACTATTCTGTGTAGTTGGCAAAATCAAAAACAAACAATGCACATGCATGAAATTAAAAATATAAAATGGCGACAATTTACCCATAGCACCCTGTATACAGAAGATTGTTTTGACATTTCTGAATGAGTTAGATGCCATACATGGTTTCCATATAGAGGTCTAGATATGATGAGGCTATTTAAGTTCTTAGATTAATGTTTTGGTTTTGGGCAACACTACTACTACCACAGCCAATCCTATATTAAGTTTCCTTAATATCTACAATACTAAATTTGGTCTAAGTGATCCATATTCTGAAGTATTTGAAGTATTAGAGTTTATTAATTTCATGTTAAGTGATAAGAAGCAGGCAGATTTAAGGACCCAAACCACAAAGAAATACCTGCTTTATTCCTCTACAATTTTCTTCAATGAATGGTTAAGTTGCTTACTTAATTGTGAGATAATTATCAGTCCTTTATCTCTATTCAAAAATTTAAGTGCCATATCCCATATCTTCAGTTAAGTGACATGTACCATTATGGCTCTCCACAACTTCCTATCTCCTTCAGCTGTAAACAACATTTGACTCTTTACCAATCCTTTTTGTCTCCACTCTAATATCTATTCAGAGAGTTAATTGCTGTTTCCTTTACCCCTCTTGCCTTCAATACGTCTTGTAAGCATGAATTTTTCCAAGCCATCTTTCAACGTTCTGATTCTCAGAATAAGTGTCCTTCTAGTTCCCATTTTCTCAGTATCTGTCTTTAAAGGCACATCTCTTGCTTTGAGTCTCTTCTTTATCTTTGAGGAGATTGTCAAGCATTCATTGCTAAAGAGGAGGATAGATATGTTATAGCTGTTCGGCAATCTTTTCTTTGCTTCCAATGATTCAACATCTTTTGAAATGTATTTTCAATGTATACCTCATGAAGTGTGAATTAGGAAGTCTTCACAAACACTGTGATACATCAAATAAAAAAATACTGATTTTAGATTATGAAGAAACTTGCCAGAATGTATAATGATTATAGTTTATTTTACGTTGAAACAATAAGAATGAATGTCACAATTTTCTCAAATTGATATTGTAAAGTAGATTTTTTTTCAAATTTGATGGAACTTGAGAGAAATATTTTTCATCTTTTACATGAAGATGGCTTTAAAAATGCCATGAAATGATCCCATGATTCCAAACAGCATTTATTGTAATTGAATACATTTTCACTTCTGTTAATGAGCTTGAAATGTATAAGTATATGAATTGGTTAAAATGGATATATGCCAATTGCAATGTGTACATTAAATCAACAAGTTTACAGTGATATTAGTAATTTAAAAGCTAATTTGCTTACTTGTATACTTGATAGGTATTCCCATTTGATTGGCTGCAGATAAGTCCTGTTCTAAATATATCATCAGTGCTGTCAGTTGCCAAAATTATTTTGTTATAACAAAAGATACCTGGAGCCCTGTTCACATTGAGGAAAGATGACATGTAACAAGTTGAATTTGAAAGAATTTGTCATTTTTATGAGGATTCTTTTACATCCAGTTTTGGTTTTGTTTGCTCAGTACTTTGAACAATTATCTTCTCAGATTAGGAATAAATGATAAATAATTTTACACTTTATAGCTGTCAAAGTCCAAAACAAAATAATAGCTGGTAAAGTCCAAAACAAAATAATATTTGAGGCCATTATTAAAAGCTAACCTTTGCTTACATATAAATTTGAACAGGTTTTGTATAAAGTACCACAGCAGTTCAGTACAATAAATTTCCATTAATTATTTTATGATAATTATGTTGTATAAATATTATAACATATAATAAAAATAGTTCAAAACCAACATACATAGGTAGTTATTACAGACAGCTCCAGACTGCTGGTCAACCTATATTATGTCTCATTGATCAAAGGCAATGGATTCTAGATG